CCCGCCCCGCAGCCAGTCCGGCCTCCGCGCACTACCTCGGCCAGGCCCTGCGGCTCGCGGCCTCCCCCGATCAGCCAGCGCAGCATCGGGCCGGGGTGTCCACGGCCCACGCCGCGAGGATCGACGCAGCGCAGACGCCGGTGATGGCGCTCGGTGAGCCAGAAGCGAGGCAGCGGGAAGACAGAAGTCTAGTTCGGGAGCCGGCACGGGAAGCCGCGGCGGCGGAGGCGGAGGTTCCGCGGCCCCAGTGAGCACGCGCGTGGGTGCCGTGCGGTTGGCGCAAGAGCTCAGGTCGTTCGGGCGCCCCCTGGTGGACGTGCTTTGCGGCGGCCACTCTGAAGGGCCTGCGCTCGTCCAAATCCTGTGTGATGCCCTGTGGAAACCTCCCTGTGTGTTTCCCAAGAGCCAGACGGGGAAGGTGTGCCTGCAATAGACTTCTGCACCGGAACGAATCCAGTGGCGCTCTAATACACACACACACAAAAGCAGCCAACATTGTGTGCTATTGTACAAGTATTGCGCCAGTGCTGTCTACATAGATGTTCACATAAATAACACGTCCCTCTTTATAGATCAAGAAATTGAAGTGCTTTAAGATTAGGTAATTTGTCCAAAGATAAAAGCCAGTAAGTGTCCATGATGGAATTAAGACCTAATCTGTAAACTTCAAAATCTTGTTCTTAACTGTTGCCTATATTGTTTAAGGCAGTCTTCCAAAACAGAAAGTAAAAGGCAAGCAATACACGTCCCTTCCTCCACGCCGGCTAAGTCTGGCAACCACTGCAGCTGGGACGCAGGCTTTTGGGTATGCTACAGTACACTGAGCAGCTGGAACGCAGGTCTTTGCGTATGCTGCAGCACACTGAGTAGCACTTCTAGCCCCAAACATTTAATGTCAACCACTGAATGTTCCAATTTTCTTAATAATCAGAGGACTGTGGCTATACACCACGGCTTTGGATCAAAAATTACCTGGATAGCTTTTGAAAATGTCGGGTCCAGGCTTCCCCGCCAAACTTAGAAAAGTAATAATATCTGTGGTTAGAGCATAGAAGTCAAGGTCTGGAGTAGCAAGGCTTGGGAATTATTGTTCTAATCTTTGTTACATACAAATGTGTTGGTTAAAGTTCTCCCATGGATGTGTATTTGTTATTTGTTAGGTTTTCAAATGAGGCTCCTTGCAGTAAATTTCTGCGGGGAAATCTATGAAAATGTCCCTTCCAGTGCATTAATATATAGGGTATGGTTTACTAAGATGCAATAAAGAAAAAACTACCACCTTTAGGGACAAAGCAGAAAGGCCTAGGCAAAAATAAGACTGGGCTATATATTCCACTTAAATATATCAGATGCGAGCACCTGCTCAAGTTGTCAGGACCCAGGGGATTCTGGGAGCTACTGTGATTATTCTTAGTCCTTCTAAGTGCACTCTGCAAAAAGAAGGGGAAACACCCTCCCAAAGTCTGTTACTTTTCACATCCCTGTGATCAAATATCTAACAGAGACAACACTTGGGCGAGGGAGAAGCCATTTAGTTCATGGTTTCCTAGATGTCAGTCCATCATGGTGGAAGGGCATGGAGGGTCAGTGGCAGTTTACATAAGGGCGGGCCAGGAAACAGGACTCAGCTGCCTCTCCTTTAGCCCAGCCCACGAAGTAATGGCACCCAGGTTGAAGGCAGATTTTTGTCTGCAGTTAATTCTTTCTAGAAACATTCTCAAAGACGTGCCTAGATGTGTCCCTGTCTCTCTCATGTCACTTTAAATCCAGTCAAGATGGCAGTTAAGATTAACAATCACATAAGCGTCAGGTAGAGGTTGTGTTTGCTACCCAAACGACACAGTGAAGTGGAAAGGACATGCAGAAGAGAGACTAGCCCCCAGAAGGAAAGTCTTGCCTTCGGTGAAAGGAAGCCCCATAGTGTCCAAACTTCCGTTCTAGAAGGATTACCTTCAAACGGGGCAGCATAGCTGTCCGGACAGCAGGAAGTTTACCCTGGTGTTCCGGTTTCTTCCGGGCCCCGCCCACCTTCACAGTAGCGGAATCTAGGGAACATCCCGCCTGCCCTTGAGGGCACTGAGGAGGATGAACACTTTTTCCTTGGTGAAGAAAGGACGCTAGGAAAGGTGTCTGGGACTCAGCAGGGATTCACCCTCTACCTTGAGGACAATTGTGACAGCAGAGCCTGTCAGAAGACACTGCCAGGGACTCCGGAGTCTGTTTAAAAGCTTTGGTCTTCAAGGAGAAAAGTGGCTGTTGTACAAACCTGCCATTACCCTTTCAATCCGCAGCAGGCAGAATCTTTTCCCCACTTCCCATGGCTCCCATGGCAGATGTTTAAGGACTGGGATGTCAAGGTAACCATGTATATGAGTGAATTTAGAAAAAATTCTCCACATAGACCCGAGGACAGCACAGATTCAGAAAAAACTCAAGAAAGCCTTAAGCTTTTTCCTCGGGTTAATACCTGGAGTGGAGACAAACTTCGGCAGTAGTTTCAAAGCCAGTTAATGGATTATAAGATTCAGGTGCCAGTTTTCAAGCAAAAGTAAGACTCTGGAGCGTAAAACCCAGGAAGCTATAGCCTATTAACAGGAACAAATCTGGGTCGAGTAGACTGTTCAGTCGCAAAAGCGCCGCGTTGCAAGCATGAAGAGACTTGGGTTTGATCATAGGAACCCAAGGGCTTTTCTTTCTTTCTCTCTTTCTTTCTTTCTTTCTTTCTTTCTTTCTTTCTTTCTTTCTTTCTTTCTTTCTTTCTTTTCTTAAAGGCAAGTGCAGTGGCATGTTTTGCAGTCCCAGCATTTGGGGAGTCAAAGGCAAGCAAATGCCTGGGACTCCCTGGCTTAGCCTGTGTAACAAGTTCCAAGCAAGTAGGAGACCCTAGCTTAAAAAATAAATCAAGGTGGCACATGAAGAACAGTACCTAAAGTTGTGTTCTGCTCTCCACCTGCATGTGTGCACATGTGCACATGTGTGTACCCACACACCAGAAACACACACACACACACACACTAAAAGGGACAAATTAATCAATAGTAACAATCTCTAAAAAGCCTTTAACATTAGACTTTAAAACTGTTGGTCATAAGTCTAGAGAACTAAAGGCACACCAACAGGTGATGCCCATGTTGAATGGGGAAATAACAGGGGATGAGTGACTTTCATGACGCAATTGCTTACTGTGGCACTTGTGCCCATAGGGGGCCAAAAAATGTTAAAATGGAAATTCTGGAGCAGTAAAAAGGGATATACAAACAAATGAAAAAAAAATCACTGCAAGAATTCCAGAGTGGAGTTCCTACCTCAGAAGACCCAGATTTAGGGCGGGTCTTCCCACTTCAAATGATTCAGTCAAGAAAAATCCTTCACAGGTGTGCCCAACCACTTGGGTTTTAGTTAATTCCAGACGTAGTCAAATTAACAACCAATGATGTTGCAAGTATTGTCAAAGTTACTAGACAAAAAGAAATCCGAAGAATTCAAATTGGAAAGGAGAGATACCATCGTTAGGATCGTGTAACATACGAACTTATATACAGAAAATCTCAAAGAATCTGCAAGTACTAGAACTTAGGAGTTCAGCAAAGTTATGGAGCCCAAAATTAACACAAAAACAGCTGTGTTATTATAAATTAGCAACAAACAAACTCACAAGGAAATTAAGGAAGCAACTCTATAATAGCACACTTAGGAATAATTACTTAAGCATCAATTTAACCCAAGATTTTAAAACCAGTACATTGAATACTATAAAACGTTGTTGAATAAACTTAAGAGACCTAACAAAGTGGAAAGTCATCTCATGTTCACAAAATGATGCTAAAATATAACAGTACTACCCAAAGCATTGAACAATTTAATACAAGTTTCACAAAAATGGAAATGATAATCCTCAATTTCATACACACAAATTACAGGAAGTCTTAAATAGTCAAAGAAATCTTGAAAAAAGCTGTAAGAATCACACAATTAAAAGCAAATTGGCAAAGAACTTAAATATACATCTCCTCAGTGTAGAAGAAGCCCATGAAAAGAAACTATGTGTTAGTCATCAGAGAAGCCCAAATCAAAACCTCAGTGGCATGCCATTCCTTACACCTACTGGGGCGACCTTGCTTAAAAACTGTAAAGCGACAAGTGTTGGATATGTGGGGAAACTGGGATCCTTCCGAATTATGACAGAATGTAAAACAGAGCAGCCAATACTAGAATAGTTTCACGATTCTTCAAAAAGGTAAATTCACAACTACCATGTGACCCAGCAATCGCTCACCATGGAAAGCCAAAGCAGAGAGTTGTGCACCAGTGTTAGTGACAGCATTGTTCACAGCCCCCAAAGGTGGAACGACCCAAATGCCCATCAAAGATGAGTGAATAAATAAAACATAGGAATGCGTTTAAGTGAATATATATTTTGCCATAAAAAGGAATGAAATTTTATATTGCTGCAATACAGACTTTGAAAATATCATGCTAGCTAAACTATGCCAGTCCTATAACAAATATTGTATGATTCTACATGAAGTATTTAGTCTAGATTAATTCATGGGGACAGAGAAAAAGAATAGAGGTAAATGAAGGGCTAGGAGAGGGAGGTGGGGACTTCTCATTTAAGGACTACATAGTTCATGTTTAGGATGATTTAAAAGTTTTGTGTATAGATGATTTTAATGGCTACACAACACTGTGTGTTTAATACCATTCAACTGTATACCTGTAAGTGATTTAAATGCCCATACTACACATATACTTTACTACAATGAAAAAGACAAGCATGCTAGTGGAACAGAATACAGAACCCAGAAATAGAATCATACTTAGATATAACTGATGCTTTTATACAAGTGTGAAGGCAGTTCAGAGAAAAATTATTTTTTCAAAAAAATCTGCAAGAACCATTTGACTATCCTATTCAGATAAATGAACTTCAAACTATATCCAAACTTCAACTTTAGACCCAAAGTTTAAGATGCATCATTGACATAAGTCTAAATCCAAAATCTATAAAGCTTCTGGAATGAAGCTTGTTGACACATTTTGTGACTTTGTGTTGGATGGAGATTTCTTAAATATGACCTCAACAGTACAATCCACAAAAGAAAAAAAAATGATAAATTATGCTCCCTAAAATGAACATATCTGTACTTTCAAAGGCACTGCTAGAATACAATAATAAGCCATAGACTAT